AATGTTACAGACAACGTTATAATTGCTTTGAAGTGTGGGATTGGGGGGGGGGGGCCTCAACCTGATGAAATATATTTTGTTGTCATTGCATTAATATCATTTTTGTCCAAATGGAATGAGGAGTTGCCTCAAAACTTTATTACAAATTTTATTTTTTACCAGATAAATGTTTAGCAAACAGTGAAATTTGTTTAGCTTCAATCTAGTTAACAATGGCATTTGCCAGCATCCACCGGAGACCAAATAGAGCTAACCAAAAAATATTTCATTTAGTATACATTTCATGAAATTTAATTGAATCTTTTATCATCCTCCTACAATTTATTTACGGTATTTATTTATTCGACTTTCCCATTTAAGAAATATTTTTAAACCTTAGAGAAAACACAGAAGGGTGGTGCCGATATGTTCCATTCCTAAAACAATCTTGTTTGATCAAGAGTTGAAACATAGGAGAGTAATGTACAGGTACTTTAAAATTCAAATAATGGAAGAGAAAATAAAAGTTAAAAGTGTGAATGTCGTTGCTGTTGAAGATCACCCCATGCTACCTTTTTACCTCTTTCACGTTCGGACATGCCTGAGAAGTGATAAATATTACAGCAATGGCTTTACAATAAAACATTTGTTGCCCTGGAGTTCTTCACTCAAATGCTAACAGTTTTTTAAAACTTTTTGAACGTTCATCTTAAATAGTTTCATTTCAAATATAAATTGAGCTGAATTGAACTAAAATTAAATGTAATTAAATACAATATGCGGGGGGAAAAAAACTAAAATTGACTTACGCTGAATTTCATAGAGTTGCATTTCTGGTCCATTAATTTGAGGCACATTAGAGGAAATTTCTCCTTTTTTGACATTAAACTGATGGTCTTCTAATTCACTCTTCAATGCTTTGATCTATATAAAGAGCATAAAAAAAAAAAGTAGACATAATAAATATTACTAGATGGCATCTTTTATGTGTAACCTTTTCTTCTATAGTTTTGTTGGGTAGTGGGCACAATGTGACAGGTTAAACCAACACTGACAAAACTTTGACAGAAGTGACATTTCGTTATTCACCAAGACAAAACAATTTAAAAAAACAAAAAAAACATCCTTCATTATTGAAACTATTTTAGTTCAAGTTAAAACATCTATTAAGTTTGGTCTATATTTTATAGTGCAGTTGTTCAATCTCATATAAAAGTGTGTAAATCCTTACATCCCTTATAAGACATTGTTTTTGTTTTCTTGCAGTCTTTACTTTATAACTGACCATGAAGGTTCAGTAAACAACTATTTCTATTTTGTACAGAAGGAGGGGAGTATCTAAAACTCAAGGCAAAATTAATTCCTCTAGCCAGCTTGATTTGTAGAAATAGAAAATCCTATCCCACCACCACTTTACACTAGAGCCTTGAGCTTTCATTTATTTGTATATGGCCCTGTTACTTCTAAAATACCATTTCTTCAGTATACAAGTACAGCTTTTATCATTGTTAGGCCAATATAACAAATATTCTCAACATGAGTACCATCACATAAATGCAAACTAGACATGTTGACAGAATTTCTTTTAAGTATTATGTTGCAAACTAGCTTGCTGCCTACACTAGTATTACAACTGCACTAATTTTGTACATAATGTTTAATAAATAAGCATTTAATCTTCTTGGATAGAGTTATAAAAATTATTGTTTCAAGAAAAAATTAGCCAAGTCTGCTGGTCCTAAATGTAATTTATATTAACTCAAGCGCCGTGAGATCAATTATTTTGTAACGTCATACCTCTTTACTCAAAGTTGCCCTCTCTACAGCAAAACGTTTCACTTTATCATCTGCGGAGCAACAGAGGAACATCATCAAAATTATATTCAAAGTCACATTTGTTTACATACTTCTTTAAAAAACTTGTATAAAATGTATATAAATGTTGATCTTGTAGACATGGGCTTCGACTGTAGTTTCGGCAGCTCAAATGCAATGAGAAACATTAAAGGTTTCAAAGCAGCCTTAAGACATGACAGTTCATTCCATATTGTGCATGAGTAAAAAAACTGTCTCCAACTTAGAGGTGCAAAGCATCGTCACTTTGTAGTCATAACTTTTAAGCCATCACTGGCTGATTAAAGTCATTTTTTAAACTGATTTACAGCAGTCCTCCTGATAATTTTCTAATGTAATTTTCTTTGTAAGGAGAATGTGTGTTCATTGGTATACCGGTACTAATACTTTTTGAGGCATCAATTTTTTTTGTCTTCATTTATATTAATATTATTCAATTACTGAGTACATAGGCTGAGAGAAATTATAGTAATGGTGAGAAATTGTATGAATGGTATGAAATATATGTTTGTAATGTAAAATTAAAGGTTCCAACCATTGTGAGTTATCAGATTTGAGAATGAAAAAAATAAAAATGAATTTAAAATAAAGTAAGAGACAATCAGGCAACAAACAACTAGCAAAGCAGAGTACAGAATGTGTCATACAACTTGACTCGATTGATGTTGTGGCTGCAAAGTGGAGAATGGAATATGTTCAAGTATTGGCCTCAGTTGACAATTTTAAAAATCATTTACTGATTTACTCAACTCTTGCGAACAGTTGAACATTATGTATATAAAACTGTATTAGATGAAACCGTACAAAAGAAAACTGTTCTGCCAAGACATCTAGGTTAATTTCAGGGCAATCAACCAAAAGAAACTGAATGATGCAGTATGCAATGCAGCTCACAACAGATAATAGAATATTTTTAAAAATAAAATAAAACACAACACATAAATTTAAAGACTTGTGTAACTGCTTCATACAACTTCCTAGTATGCAGCTAGCTAGAAAGTAAGTCAGTTTTGTTAAGAGACATTTCTAACAGTCAAGACCACAAACAGCAGAGGAGCAACACTTTCATTTCTTTCTTACGGGAAATTAGAAAAGATAGAACCTGTCAGTATCAGTAATGCCTTCGCTACATCATATATCAAATCCAGTTGATCTAAAGCAAGCAGCATCTAACTATGAAACTCTTACCATGTTTAATGTTATCATTTTGAAATTATTTGATATGAAAAATATGAGTACTGACCGCTAAATCAAATGTGATAATTTGTTGCTTTCTGAAGTCAAGCTAAAATTTAAAAAAACAAAACATTGTGGCTTGCTTCAAAACCTTTGCCAGATCACTCATGCAAGAGTTTTTAACATTTCTAAATTTAGAAACAGTAAATTAAGTGAGCTTCATTCATATACTGGGTTAGGACAGTTAAGACAAAAAAAATCACATTCAATTCATAAAAAGACAAAGTTAAACAGAAATAAGTACACAATTTTTGCATGTCATACAGCAGCCAGAGTCAAGTTGTATTTTGGATTGTGATTTTTTTTTTTTTTTTTTATTTGTGTTTGCTTAACAAAAGAATAGGAAAATGCATTTACTGATAAAATAAAAAATATACTTCAACAATCATTCATTAGTAATCAATTTTATACTTTATTGAAAAAAGTCCAATATATAGTTTAAATAGCTTGTATATATACATTTGATAGATATGATAAAAAGCTTTCAACATTTGAATTAACAGATAAGATTATAAGCAAGGAAAAAAGCCCTCAAACAGAATAAACCATTTAGTAAAGAGAAATGTTGGCCCCCCCCTACCCACTTCCTCAAATTGAGTACAATTAATATATTACAAATTTTTTATTTTTCAACAAGTTTACAGCTATAAATTTGCTGAAATGAATACCCAAAATGGAATATATCAATTTTTTTTTATAAAGTATTTTAAACTGAACTAATAAAAGTGCAAATGTGTTTTTAGTCAATTTAATTTATTTTCCCAACAAAAGCAAGCAGTTATTGTTTATTTGTTTTTTTTTTAAAATAGCACAGATTACTGTAAATCAAAACAAGAAAAATGAGTGAGGTCATCATGAGACATAAGTTTAAACATGCTTCAATGATTCTCAAAGATATTTTAAAAAAGACAAGCAACATTCCTTAAAAAAATTAGATAAAAATAAATTTATCATCATTGCCGTTTAAAAAAAAATTAAATTGCCTACTTATGCATTTTCTTAACAGTGATTTTTCTTGAATATATCTCCAAGTAATTAATAATTTTCATACAAATAATTATGAATGTTTCTTATAGGTAACAATTTGATATGTTGAGGTTTTTACTGTATTTGAATAAAGCGACTGGCTTCATCTGAGTTCAACAGCTTTTTTAATTTTTTTTTTTTTACACATTATGTTGGAATGTAAAAGTAATTAATATCGTATTAAAAGAGTTACGGATAAAATCCAACTTGACTCTGACTACATAAGCACACAAAATTAGTTCAGCCATTTTAATCAATAAATCAAAGAATAAAACAAAAATTCTAGTTGTACATTGGACTGACCTCCACAAAATATATCTAAGACAAACCCTGTAGTATAAGAACTCTAAAGGCATGAGGTATACAAACCACTTCTATTAAGTTCTATAGCTTAAAAAAATTTTTTTTAAGAAAACATCTTTGGACACACAGAGCACCATCTTATACTTAATAGGGCAAGATATGATATGCTCCACAACAGGTAATAATTTAGGATTGAAGTAACTGTGAAAGTTATATTTTGAATACATCAACAACTTTTTTGAAGAAATTACACAATTATTATTTCAATTCAGTTAAGAAAAAAAATCTTCATTAATTTAAAAGATGTCCCCCTTTTGAGTGAAGGACTGTATCAAATACAAGAAAAATATTACATTACACAGGTTTTACAGAAAGTATTTTAAGTAAATTGATGAGAAAAACATATACCATTATTTAATAAAACATGGAGTCGATAGATGTGTAATGAAATTCTATAAATTGAACCATTTGCAATAAAAACATACTTTGATTTGAGCCATACAAAAATACTTGTATAAGTAGAAGGAAGAATTTCAAAACTTTTCTTTAATGATATGGACAATATTATTTGATTGATAAAAAGGTAGAAAAAAAAAAAATCCCAGTAAAAAGTTTACTTTTTATAACAAGTTTTTTTCTCCAGAAAAACAATTTTGTTTTAAATTATTTCTTTTAATTACTCGAAAAGAATTGAAGTAAAAAAATATTTTTTTTAAAAATAGAATAATAGAACCATCTCTGTGGTCATGATTTTATAACATTTCTTGCTCTTTAGCAAAAGCTGAACACAAATGAAAGACGATCAATAATGAAAACAAAAAAAAAGTATTATGAACATTGTAATCACAGGCAGATGCTAACACATTCAGAAGAAAAAGGCAAAGGGAATACTTAATCTCAATATCATGCCATGACAACACTACAGCAAGATAATTAACTCCACGAACATGAGTATTTGATTCAATGCTATTTAACTGAAATCTTCATATAATCAAGTTGAAGTTTCATTTTTAAAGAACAGTCAAAGAACAGTTTTGTCAAATGAGAGTTGTCATGAGAATCATTTAAGTTATTTAAAATAAAAATTATAAATGAATATGAATGTATGCAAATTTTATAATTAAAATCAAATTTAAACAAGGGTCCTTCAAAATGTATTGTCTTTTTGGATCTATCAAGTGATCACATGGTTATTGATGTATACTAGTAGAGACTAGAGACCCTGATCATTAATTTCAAAGCGTTTAAAAAAATCAACTGCTTACTCGTATCTAGCCTGTGTGAGTTTTTCCAAATAAGTACCAAGAGTAAATAAGCCACTAGCTAAAAAGGAACCAAAAAATGCTGTATTATACAGCTAATTTGTACACTGATATATTTAAAATGAATGTAATATAACAACATTTCCATACATTCAGCAGGAAATACCTGAGACACCCATTGTAATCCTAATCATAGGATATCCTATTCTTTGTTTGATGGATGATATCACACTTCTCATACATTGAGTTAAACCCCTAAAGAAAAGGAGTGGGGATTTTTATAAGGGAGCTAGTTGATCAAACTTTTACTTGGTGAAGACTTTCTTAAACAGATTAAACTTCTTTGATTTTTTATGGGCTTTGGAAAGACCAGCCTCACTCATTTGCTTGTCTAGTTCTCCCTCTAAATCAGCAGTTTCCAATGATGTCTGAGATTCTGCTTTGTCCAATTTTCCATGGCTTCCTCCTTTGCTTTCAGCATGGTCTTCCTTCTTTTTCTTTCCTTCCTTCACAGATCCCTTGCTTTTCGAAGCCTTTTCTTTCTTATGACTACTGGAAGATTCAGCTTTCTTTGATGCATGTTTGGGGCTGGTGGCTCCCAAATTCAATTCAGGCTCAAGCTTAGCATGACTCTCTGCAGGTGGCAAATTAGTCTTTGCTTTTTCAACTGGACTAGGTGTAATGACCTTTTCAGGTGTGATGACCTGATTTTCAGGTGTAACTACTTTTTCAGCCTCTTCATCTTTTTTATTTCCCTCATTTTTGTTAATCTCTCCAGAGGTAATTTCAGTTCCTTCTTCAGCCTCCAGAATGTCATCAATGTCATCAAGGTCATAATCATCAAGTCCAACTCCATCTGATGCCTCAGAGCCTACAAGGCTCGATGAGCGCACAAGTAGCTTTGAGTTATCTTCCAATTGGCTTGAGTCAGGTTCCTTAGCTTCTTCATTCAAAGCTAGTGAAGATTCTTGATTACAGACAGGGGCTTCAGTGGAACTCTGAGTGTCTGCAAAATGTTCTTTTGAAGATGCTTCAGAAACATGAAGAATGTCAATCTCATCAGTTTGGCTTGACAGTTTCTTTTCATTAGTATCAATAGCTAGTTCATCTTTGAGTCCATCAGGTGCAGGCACTTTGACATCTATATCAGATAATAACTGATCAGTGGGTTCAGCAGTAGATATTTGAGCTATGACATCTCTGTCAATAGACTGAGCATCTTTGACATCAGTATCAATAGATGGCTCATCTTTGATATCACTTTCAATAGATGGCTCATCTTTGATATCACTTTCAATAGATGTCTTATCTTTGACATCACTTGCAATAGATATCTCAACTTCGACATCACCTTCAATGGATGGCTCAACTTTGACATCACCTCCAATAGATGGCTCAACTTTGACATCACCTTCAATGGATGGATCAACTTTGACATCACCTTCAATAGATGGCTCAACTTTGACATCACCTTCAATAGATGGCTCAACTTTGACATCACCTTCAATAGATGTCTCAACTTTGACATCACCTTCAATAGATGGCTCAACTTTGACATCACCTTCAATAGATGTCTCAACTTTGACATCACATTCAATAGATGGCACAACATTGACATCACTTTCAATAGATGGCTCAACTTTGACATCACTTTCAATAGATGGCTCAGCTTTGACATCACTTTCAATAGTGGGCTGGCCATTAACTCCACTGACTTCATCAACTTCAGGAGTTGATTGAAACGTATTTTCATTTAGAGGACCAGAAGCATCTTTTATTATGTCATTTTGAGTGGCTTGATCATTTACATAAGTCAAGTCAGTTGATTTATCCTGAACAGCCCCCTCACTTGGTATCTCGGTGTTAATGGCTGCAACATCAGACAAATCAACTTGGTTTTCATTACCTTCAATATTTTCTACATTACCTTGACCTGTGTTTTCCACATCAGGTGAAGACAGTTTACAGCACTCATTGTCATTTGCATCTCTGGAATAATTCTCAAGTGCTTCTGGAATGTTATCAGAAGATGGACCACCTTTTTTATCATCTGTCAGTTCTGAATGTGGAAGGGTCTCTTGCAGTGAATCATCTTTCTGTTCATTGTCTCCAAGACTTGAAACTGTTGAGATCTTTCCCACATTAACATCAGAACTACTTTCTGACACAGAGTCTTGGTCAACAATTTCAGAAATAATTTCTGCAACAGTGGCCTGGTTTACATTATCAGGACTACTTTCATCTATAGCCCTTTGTTCCCCATTACCAGAACTCTTTTCAGTTTCAACGGCTAGCTCCACATCATCAGTACTGCTTTCATTTACAGCAACCTGCACAACCTCATTAAAGTTACTTTCTCTTTCCATGGGTTGTTCCCCATCATAAACACCTGAAGATTCTTCAGCATAATCTGAACTGCTCTCTGTCACCGTGACTTGCTCCACAATGAGACTTGCTCTAGATGGCGGCAGGTCCTCTTCCTTCTTTGCCTCACTCACTGCATCAGTAGGATCAACTGAGCTCCCTTCAGATTTATCCCTACCCTCTTCAGAATATGTTTGAACACCATCAACAAAGTCAGCAGATTTATCAAATGGGGATGGAGTACTCACAGCATCATAAAATTCATCCCCTCCATCAGATTCTTCATCCCCAGAGCTTCCTTTAGATCTATGACTTTTATGGACACCGGTAGATGGAATCTGCAAGCTTTTATTCTTATCTAATTTCTTATCGTCTTTCAGATGGGATACAACATCTAGGTTATTATTGTCAACATTAGAGTGTGCTTCACTAGAATCACTTTCTGCATAACAGTCAAGCACTACACCATGCTCATGAGGTAAAGAAAGATTAGTAGACACATCATCACTAATAACATGCACTGTCTCATCAATAGCCCTGTCTCTGCATGGCTCAGCAGTACCCCCCACACCTGGCCCTGAGGTAGAAGAATCAACACAATCTTGCTCCTTTATTAACCCAGGTGCATCAACAGAGCTAGATGAGACCAACTGGCCAGCCTTGTGGCCAGTTGCGCTAGAACAACTACTTGTATTAGAAGAACAGCCATTGATTGCAGTACCTAAAGTGACACCCTCTGTTTTTTCCAAAAATTCTTTGGTCTCCGGTGACACTAGAACAGCTCCCACGGGAAGTGGACCATTAGTTGAACTTGTTGACTGTTTCTCTAACACTGGCTCTCCTTTTTCATTGGCAAGAATGATGAAACCACTCTCCTAGAAGTGAAGGTTAGAGCTGCATTAGTCCACCATAAATATGAACAGGTCTTAAATATTTCTACTCTAAAATACGGTTAAGTTTTACATTTTAATAGAAAGATATTAAGGTTTAACCTTAATTGTTTTTGTAGATTAATGAGATGTTTATAAAACTAGGAAGGTGGGAAATGAAAGAACTAGAAAATTTTAGATAAAATATTGATGTTTTTCAGCACAAAATAAAAACTGTAAGAATTTAATTTTCAAAACAGGAAACACAGCATTTTACTGGACATTTTGATGATGATTTTTTAATGGAAAATGATGATCAAAATAATACTAAAGTGATCATAATATACCTGTATTAATCTGTCTTTTATCTCTAGTTGTTGTTTAAGAATATTCAACTCATGTTCCATATTTTTTAAATCACGCTTCATGAATTCATAGTCCTGTAAAAGAATTAAAATAATAACTTAATTCTGTTAATTCTAAACGTTATTTTTGACTTCCAATAACAATATTACCTCAGCGTAGATAATATACATACAAACATGTATGTATATATAAATATTTAGGTATAGATGAATTGAAAAAAAAAATTATATTAAAAAGGTGAAATTTGATTAGCTTTCCCAATCTTTCAGAGAGTAGTACTTTATTAGTTTTATGCTTCTGAACTTGAAAAGAAACTAACAAATGACAATTGTTTTGTCCATAAATTACTCATGTATATATATATATATATATATATATATATATATTAGGGGTGTGCCGGATCCGTTTTTTCCAACCGGATCCGGATTTTCTTATGCGAAATCCGCCGGATCCGGATTCCGGTTTCTCCCGGATTCCGGATTTTGGTACTATTGGTAGATACTTCGGTAAGTCAAGGTGGACTACTACTTTTTGTGTATGGGAATTCGCAATCGGCGCCAAAAAATCCGAGTTTTTAATTTTCCGATGTGTGTGTCTATTTATTATTAAATTAGTACTTTCGATATATATTTGAGTTCCGTTCCATTTGGATAAGTGTCTTACGAGAGACGCCATGTTTCTACGCGTTCGCAGCAGGTTATGCAGCTCGCTCAACCTAATTTCGCCATGGGGTTGGCCACGCCCCCCTTTTTAATGGCGGAAGTTGACGATACTTAGGAAATATTAATTTATTATCACTATTTACATCAAAATAATTGATAACTTGTGTTTCAGAATGCATTTAAAGACATTTAAACTGGAATGTTTTAATTTGAGCTTTAACAACCCGGTAGAATCCATATTATAAATGATCAGAATTTACCGTGTGCAACACGTTGTCATTGGCAACCATTCACAGCCACTTGCATAACTGTATCGTAGTACTACCTCAGAGTTTCATTCATAAGAGTTTGCCGTGTGCAAAAACTATTAAACCATTGGTCAGGGAAAGCTTTAATTAATTATTCATGTGCCAAAGTTGAAAGTTTAAACTAAGTCTAAACAGTATTTTAGTGATAAGGCAGGGAATGCGTTGCCTTATATAAACTATATAGTCATTGCGCATGACGGGATTGGTGGAATGAGATCACAGAATGTGGAGATGCAGTCCATGTTAAAAAATGACAAACCAAGTCGTACTTTAAAAATTCATAACTTTAAAACTACAACAGCTAAAAATATGATTTTGGTGTTATAATTCTTTAAAAAATTACATCTTTTCAACTATGCCATTGGTTTATTTTTACAAAAAGTTTAAATTTTCTTATCAAAGTCCCTACACTATTGGCCACTATTAGCGGTGCTGACTCTAGCCTCTGGTATGTACGGAATATTAAACATTAAACAAGCTCAACGCTCGAAACAATCGATTACTGTATCGTGATCGTGTGAAATTCGGGAAAGAGAATTACTTTTATTTCAGATTATGATCCGGTGAGTCACAAAATCTGGCAAATTCCGAAATCCGGTATATTCCGGATTCCGGAATCCGGTTGTTCCGGATACATGTAAATCCGGCGGAACCGGATTTCACCGGATAGTGCAAAATCCGGCGGAACCGGATTCCGGACCGGGGTCCGGCACACCCCTAATATATATATATATATATATATATATATAATATATACACACACACACACATATATATATGCCAACTGCACTAATAATTATAAGGCTACTGATAGTATCTTCCTATTCTTTAGATATGTTATATAAATGATGATGATCTTAGAAAGTGGCAATTAATTTATTAAGCAAAGTGTAAAAAATCATAGAACAAACATCTAGTTCCTATGCTACTTCAAAAAAGAATATTGTAGCAGAGTAGATGATTTAATGTAATGGGCAATAATACACAGGTTCAACAGCAGCTCAGCATTTTGTTGCATTGATATGTGCGTCCCACCAGAAGTCTTGATTTTTTAATAGCAGATTTCTCGTTTAAAGTAGGGTACAGTAAATAAAAAACTTTCTACAAAATGGTGTTACAAAATAGCATCTCCCTCCCATCAAATATTTTCTACACTGCTTAGTCCTTGGCCACTTATGGGTATAAATATAAATTCCCACAGTAACCATTCAGAAATGTTTTTGATACTGGTCTCATGGCGGCCTTCTCACCCCTCCCCCAATATGCAACCAGTGTTGCCAGCTACACTACAGCTATCAACAAAATCTTGCAGGGACAAATAAAGTCAAGTGGAATATTATGTGAGCTTTTTTAATTACTGGCCCAGGGGAAGCTAACCTGATATACCTCTTCCTTAATTAAGCTGTTAGTCAATAGTAACAACAGTAGTACTTAAAATAGCATCTCATTATTTTCTTAGCATTTTTTTTCTATTTATTAATATTTCTAAATTATTTATGAATTGAAATTCCCATAAACTTAAGCGTCATATATGAATTCATAATATTTCATTAAATAATGTTGTATCATATGCAATGATACTCAAAGCTAATGGCTTAAAAAATTTGAATTTTCTATCCACTGATTTTTTTTTAAATGATTGAGATATAACTTTTAATATTTTTATGCCAAAGGCAAAAATAATTGTGTCTCAAAACTATGAATTAAAAGTTGTTTACCATTAATACAAAGATAGATTTATATTTCCTACAAAAATTTAAGATAAGCCAATTTTAGCATACCCTAGATTTCTCCTTGTATTCCCTTTGAAGCTCTGTGTAACCTTCGTCTTGCTCTTCTAGCTGATCCTTCAGAAGTTCCACCTGATACACGAGGGACTGCTTCTCATTGTCCAGCTGTGCACTCGTCATCATGGCTGTTTTGTACTTATCTTCTAACTCCCTAATTTCTGCCTGAAATCATATTTTAAAAGATAAAATTTAGTTTTCTTACATATTGTCCTTTAAGACAAGAGTGAACTACATACAACACACCATTGAACCTTTTAAAAAAAGAAATTATTTTTAAAAAATATTCAGACATTCAATTTCTATTGCCAAAAAACCCAAAAAAGTCCTGCACGTTCACAGGAATGCAAGTAAAATCATGGTTAATATCTAACAATCCAATTTGTTTTTTTTTAATGGAACAACAAAGTTAAAGAGCAAGGATAGATGCACACAAATGTTTACTTTCTCATGTTCAGAGACAATACAAAAATTAATTTTGAATATTAGAAAAACAACAAAACACAATTAGACAAAATATTCAAGCATCATCTTTCGTATTTTTAGTTTAAAACAATGAATGTTGTTAAATCAATATCAAATTATTTGACCAAGTAAATGGTTGCATTTTATTGGTTTTAGATGACGAGCTTTTAACCTATGTCCTGGTGAAATCAATAAACCATTTCTCAAGCTGTAGCAAGTCGACATAATGCTGCAAGAAAGTCTTGAAAGAATAATAAAAACTCCTGAGAGTGGCAATTCAAAACCTGTAGCTGTTATGAAATGTGCACAGACACTACAAACTACCTTAAAAATGGGGAATCGATAAAAAAAAACAACAGCCTCCTGGAACTTATGCTATTAAAAATGTATAATGTATGAAAGGTTGACTAAAATATTAACTGAAGTTTTGCTAATCATTCACATTATTATAATGTTTCAAGTATCAAACGTGAACAAATCAAAGTACTGAAGGAGTTTCCACACTATCCTGTTATATGCAGAGGTAAGGAGTAATGCAGTCATTCTCATCTTTATTCATTATTAGTACCTACCTCTGGAGCTAATTTTGTAATCAACTTGGATCTCAACAAATGTTCAGAAATTCAAGACAAAGGAAAGTTACACTATTTGAAACTAAATATTTTTGTTTCCACATCTAAAAGGATAGGTGCAAAATGTACAAAGTAAATGCTCATGCAATCATTATTACTTTGGGTTAAACAACAACACTTATGCTTAATTGTTTGTTGACTTATTAATGTCAGTAAAAAATCATTAACTGAAAATAATGAATTTGAAAAAAAAAAAAGGGAAAGGCAAAAGAAATGATCTAATGCTGGAGATGAAAAACTACAAGCAACCTTATATGACTTAACTGCGATCAACTGGTGTTGAAAATTCTAGCATAAATAGAAAAAATGTTTTCTAATTTTCTTGCATAAGAAACTACTTATGGTACACTTTTCAATTTTTCATTTCAATTAAGTGTTAACTATAAATATCTTCATGACAAGTGCAAAGGAAATAACTAGCTAAACTGATGAATCTGGAAATATTAAAGTTGCACATAATAAATTAATGATAGGCTTTTCCCCACACATTTTACTTGCCTTGAAGTAATTACTTTATCGACCATTTGTTTCACCTTGTCATTTGTTTACCTAGTCGTAGTTGTATTTCTTTTGACTTATGAATACAAAAATCTCAATTCAATAAATATTGGTAAAAGAAACTATTAACTCCAGGTCTCTTTATTCTTCAAATATTTTGCATGTGGTGTCATTTATTGGTGATCTTGGCTTATGAAAATTTATAATTGCCTTACAAAATTTAATTTAATCTATATATTTAAAATAAATGTATGAGAAGCACACTAGTAACAAAAATGTACAAATAAATTAATCATGCAACCGACACATTAGCAGTTTTCAGTTGGTCACATCTGTAGCAAATCTGAAGGTTGAGAACGACCATGCAGTTTGTCAGATCAGTTAGCATTTCACTCTCTTTACTTCGACTACTCACCATTTTCAGAGCCCTTTTCTGTTCATTTTATTGGACAAGACAAAAGAAAATACATAAATATATACTTGCAAGTAATAGCTGTCCATTTTGTAAGGATAGTTTATGCAGAAATTATTATCAAAATTAAAAAAGTTTTTGCTATTTAAAAGCCTTTATTTCTTTTATTTAAGTTCCTTCATCAAATTTACTGTGAAATAACAATTTAAAATTACTTTGGCCATAATTTAGGGAAACTATAAACAACTTCATTTAATTGTTTATATTTCCATTCCCACTCTTTCTTCTTCTTCATATAATATAAATTTTAGTTTTTAACATAAGCCTCTTTTTTAAATGATAATCTTAAAAACTTTATTCTGTCAGTGATGTGATTAGTAAGTCTTGTGATACAGCCTGTAAAAACATGTGGCCTGAGATCATCAAGTGAGTTACTAAGATTAGTTAAAGATGCAGAGCAATATCATATGTTTAGTTGTAAACTAGTGAGATATGAAATGAAATTGTGCAGATATCCTAAGTTAAAAAATTTTTAATATACAATTTAAAGTAGTTTGTATTTTTTATTGTGCTTTTGCTAACACTCATTCACATAAATAAAGAAAGACCGTATCAATTTCCAATTTTTAAAAAAAATGTTTTTGTACAAGCATTAATGTTGTCTTAGCCTTACCACTAAACAAAATTATCCTACCATAAAATGTTAAACTAAAATAAGATAGAAATTCACTTTGAGAAAGTGAGAAAAAAACTGCATGTACAAAAACTTGGAGCAATGTACATCAAATGTTTTATTTCAAAATAATATATTGAGTACAAATTTTCATGCATGTTGAAATAAATTAAATAAAATCATGCAATCTGAACAATAGAAAACTATATCCATGAATATTAAATAACCTGAAATAATAACAAATTAAAAAAAGATTTTAAAAAACAATAAAGTTGAAAATGGTAAGAATTTTATTTATAAATAATATGTGAAATCGGCTAATAATACCTTAAAATCCACATCTTTTGCATCAGAATCATTTGACTCTGTACTACCACGTCTAGATCCAGATCTTGAACCTGATAACTGCCTGCCCTGAAAAGGATAATGAAATTTTTTTAACATACTGTTTTTTGTTTTTTTTAAAAGTACATTTCAAACTTATGAAATGATTTCAAAAGGAATGAAAATACTAAAACAAGGAATATAACTTGCAATTAAAATTCAAACAAATAATAAAGAACCATTAAGCCTAATGTTGCGGGATGTATAGCTATGCATTCTCAAGTGTTTTTAATGTGATAAGATCAGTCTCCTCTCTACAAATAATTTTTTAAAAGTTTATATATTTTTTTTTTAAATCCAACTTTAGAAACAAGGTAGAAACATTCTCCTGGTGTGTCACAAACTGCCATCATTTAGTTAGCAAATCACTCTTTTTTTCACTCTGCAAGCTCACATTTTAATTCACATCTTTTGTTACTCTTTCTTTTTTTTCCTATTTTTCCTCACATGTAAAATTAGCTTAAATAACATAACATGGGAGTTAATTTCTTTACTGCTTATTGTCATATATTGTAATCATATTGTAACCACATATACCTTAGAAGATGCATGCTCATTAGCAAGTTCATGAACTCTGTCTTGTTTGCCCTCAGACTGAAAAGTACAAAATTATAATATGCAAGGTCTAATTATTACTTCCAAACATGGGCGCCCGCAGGTAGGGGCAAGGGGGGGCACACTTGCCCCCCCCCCCCCTGGATTGATTGGATAAAAAATTTTTAGACAAAAATAGACAAAAAATTTATTAAAGTAAAGAGAAAATAAAGAGAAAGTAACTAAGCTGTTGTCNCCTCCCCTGGAAAGTTAATTGATTTTTTTTGCCCCCCCCCCCAGAAAGTTTTCTGCGGACGCCCATGCTTCCAAAGCCATTGTTTAACCCCATTAAATTATCATGAAATATAAAATTAAAATATTAATACTTTTCAAAATAAATATTGATCAGAAATGTATTGAGAGCAATTTAAAGGTCTAATTATGTGTAAGGAAGATTGTCATACAAATCTATATTATACCTCTTTTTCTTGCTTTTCAATTTCCTTCATTCTTATTTCTCTTGCTTCTGCTCTGGCAGCTCGTTTGGCAGCCAGTCGTGCCTCTGCCTATATTTTAAAAACATTTATTTAATTGAAAATATGTTTGAAAGAATATCTTTAAAATATATCTGAAACATTAGCAAATCATTAATAATAAAATTGTATTATAAGAAACAAAATATGTATTTAATTTTAGACATGAAATGGTTGTGTTAAATTTACTCAAATAATTTAATCCACCAAATAAAAAATAAATTAACCAGAAGATTTTTTAAAAAAATCTTTACCCTTTTAACTTTAACTAGGGGCTTAAATAGGGCTAAATGACTTCAGGGGGCTACAATGAATCTTTGGAGAGCCACATGATCAAAAATGGAAAAAATTGTTATTTAACCAGGGAGCCATGTGGTAAAAAAAGCCAACAAGATTGAAGAAAGCCATGTTTAAGTATTACTGATTTAAGCAATATTTTAGAGACCCATAAAAATGTTATATGTATTATGAAAATTGATAGGACAACAAACAATAACATATTAATCAAATGTTAATTATATATTGTCATTTCCCAAATTTTTCAGAAACCATCCTTATAATTGATAATTAAGTCTGATTAAGAGTTATGATTTTTAAGTGTACAAATATTCAATTTTGTACAGCTTAAAAATATGTTTAGTAAAAGATCAATACTTACCTCTTTAGAGATGACATTTAAAGCCTGGTCTTCGGCTGAATATTGACGTATATTATTACTGCGTCTACGCCCTGATGATTGGGAACTCATTTTAAATAATAAAAGTTGGAATTTCCCAAGCCAGCCAAATTTGAAAAAAATGGCCCTCTTCCTTATAATGCCCAAATTCTGAAAAATAAGTACAATAACAAATGTTAACACTCTGCTTTGCTTCCCCATTGGTTATACTCAATTTATCATGAATCATGTGACACTTATTTTATTAGAGTTAAATAACTTAAATGGCACTAAATAATTTTTCGGCATTGTGGGCGGTACCAGCATAGCAAAAAAAAAAAAAAAGGATAATGTATAAAGCCCACTAAGAAAGGTTCAGAGAAAAAGTTCAAGAGAAAAAAACATCATAGTGCAAAGATGTTTGGTAAAAATATCAACTCATGAAATTTCAGAGAATTAAATTCATTAATATAGATTTTGACCTTGTTTTACAATTTACATAAGTTCGAGTTCTTATGTTAGTTTTTACTATGGACTACATCTCCACATTTTGTGACCCCGTTGCACTGATCTCATCATGCACAATAACTCTTGTTTTAATGATAATTGTATACAATTTTTATTTTAAGATTTTCAGAATTAATGCTGTATTAAATAGTAATTTTCATAAATGTATGCAATTATAAATAAATTGTAATTTATCTAACTATGTACTATGTATATCAGTAAATTTAATATAATATATTAATACATGAGATAAGGCTTTTCTTTTTACCAAGTCAACGGCATCCAATATACTGGTATAGACTATATAGCTTATTTAAGGCAACACATCGCCTTATTACTAAAATACTGTTTAGGGTCTAATTATTTTGAACTTTCAACTTTGGCACATGACTTATTAGTTAAAGCTTTCCCTGACCAACACCAAACTCTTATGAATGAAACTCTGAGATAACACTACAGACTAGCCATTATGCAAGTGACCGTGAATGGCTGTCATGACAACGTTTTTGCACATCATAAAAAACGTTTTTTTTTAATCATATGGACTCTACCAAGTTTTTGAGCCTCAAATTAAAACTTTCTTGTTTAAATTACTTCTAAGTTCACTTTAAAACACAAGTAATCAAATATTATGATGTAAACAGTGGTAATAACTAAGTATTTACTAAGCAGCAGCATCGTGGGCCTTTGAAAAGGGGGCGTGGCCCACATCATGCTAGAAATTAGGCTGAGCGACCTTATGGTAATGCAGGTTACGGGGACAAGCGTAACCAACATTGGACATGAGCTACATCAATGAGAATCGGCACCCGTATACATCAATATTTATTATTATATAGTCTAATGTGTTTCAAGATTTAATATGAAAGACAGTATCTTTGAATTTTTTAAATATTTTTTGAGGGAAAGATGCCTTATATATTCCTATGAATTCCATTATTAAGGTCAATCAAAATAGGCAAAAACAAGATAGGTCAAGATGTCCTCTATTGTAAATATGTGGAAGGCTACAACAAGTAATTTTATGACAAAATAGTCCTTTCGTTAATGGAAAAGCCCCACCGTCCAAAAATTAAAAATATGGATTCTTCTACGCCAACACCCATTTCCCATACAAATTTTGAAGTAGTCTCCCTTGCTTTACCTAAGTGGGCTACATTGCTACATATTAATATTTTAAGGCTAAGCCTGAACTACCTTTGACTTTGAGTCCTTTGTTTCTTATAACTATATTATAGTATTTACTATATATACTATTAAGGGCAATTTAATAACAATTAATAACAATTTGTATTTATTTTTAAGAAAATGCCTACCACTACTGCCCGCCGCTACCCGCTACGGCACTCGCTACACTAGACTTAGACTTAATTATAATTATTAATTAACAAGTGACAGTGACAAGATAAAATTGATTAAAAAGCAATAAAAAAAAAACTAATAAAATAGTTGTGGCATAAACGAACTTAAAAATATAAACCAACCCACTGTTTAATAACGTTTTAACTCAATTGTACGAAATATTTTTTGATGGGATGGGTGGTTAACTCGTCTTCTTGGTGTCTTTGGTTATCAATGATATGGTTTCAGGAAGAGGTTTGACTTGGCATCCATGTTTTGGTGGAGCCGACAACACCCGGATGTTGATGATTGCGCATAGTTTGGGAATTTTTTATTAAATTATTAACCTCCAGATCCAAAACAATATTTTGAGCTAAATATTTCCCTAATCACTTGTCACAACCAAACATCTTTTCAAAATAACAACTTTAAATTTATATTTACTTACACGAATTATATTATAACTTAATTTTATTTTCCACTTAATTTTCAGTTAAAGTTACTGAATTGATCAGTGTTGTCTTTCCTTTGCTTGAAAAGTATGATACTATAGACTATAGATTATTAGCCGGTGGACACTTTACTAAAGACTAAAGTCTTTACTATGTTTAGTTCATCCTAGTATTCCTACCAAAGCCACAATGCCTTCACGATGATTTTTTTTTTAATTAGCAACCAACATACTTAACGTCGTATGTCTGGAACTAAAGCTTAGAAAATATTTTGCCTTTGATTTGAAGAAAACGCACTAATGCCCCTTAAAATTAAAATTCTTGTAAAGTGCTTTTTCAACCCGTGTGCAGCATGCGGCCCAAGGACTGATTGTATACTTTGAAAATCGCCTTCCTGTGCCACATAAATGCCTAAGACTTGTGAAAATAATTAACATGTCAGAGTAAAATATTATGTAAGGATATTTAAAAATTATGCTTTGGGAAATCGAATGAGAGCACGGTAGGTGTAGCATGGAAAGAAAGGGGAGGGGGGAGGTACATATGCTGAGGTGTGGGTGTGGCTCTACAAATAACATATTAGCAGTTTTTAAAAGTTTAGCAATATCATGAAATCAGATACTAACTTTTTTGTCGATCAGCTTCTAATGGGGAGACGTTTGTGATATCGGATATTAGTGGCGTTGGTAAAGATTAATATTTGGGATACTAAACATAACTTTTTAAAATTCTACATTACGTCACAGGCACGGAATCACGTACGATGGACTTTCACTAGGCCTAGGCTATTTCTTTTGTGATATCTAGTGAGTGTAAACATAAATCAACAGTATGAAGATAAATAATAGACATTGCAATGATTTTTATAATATAATTTAGAAAGCGTCAGAATTTCAGGATGATTATTAAAAGTATATACTTAATGTAACACCCCGCCCCCACGGAGCCAAGATATCCAAAATAACCCCCACCCCCCCCCCCCCAAAAAAAAAAAAAAATTGCGTACACAACATATTATTATTGATGGACCCATTGTATGCTTATTAGAAATTTGAAATCTAGCGTTTCATTGCTCTTGATAATCGTTATTATTATACTTCCATGCATTTCGCATTTTATATTGCTGTGCGCACCTGCAGACGGCCATGGGGAGGGGGAGCCACATCGTACATATTGACAATGGAGGACAAGGGGGAGGGCTGAAAAGATGCTTATTTTATGCGGACGTCCTTTAAGGACAATCCCTTAATCTAATGGCATTAATTTCATTTGTTGAATGGGCCACGGACTACGCACTTTCCGCACTCAGCCCAAGGCTTTATTTTTTTCTCAATGTTTTATAATTCGATGCCCTCTTTGTTTGTCGTATGCTCAGTTTAGAAAGCAAAACAAAGTACAACCACCTTTAAAATTAAGTAGGTCACAATGTTTAAAATAAAAAAAAATCACATGATCCTTTGTCGTATCACGTGTGTATGTTGTTACGGAAAACTTCCTCTTAATTTTGCGGTTGGTGGACTTCAGTTTTACTATGACTATATAAAGCTTTCGACCATTCGTGTATTTATCAGTTGCTAAAAAAAAAAATTGGAACTGATATTACATGATATAATCATGCTATATCTTTTGACATTTATGTGCTTTAGCGCTGGTTATTTCAAATTAGCAGATTTTAGTTCTTTAAGGACTAACGGTTTGTCTAATATTCACGCCTCACCGGTTGATGATAGTAATGTCCTTTTGTTTGATGATTCACTGGGGTTAGAACGTCCATTTGATGGAATTGGTGGCTTGAGCGGTGGAGGGGTAAGCTTGCCTACAAAGTGTTTAAGTCTGGTTTCGATTTACCGGTATCGAGAAATCTTATGTGAATGATTTATGGGTCGCTTTTTTTTTTTTTACATTTGTGAAAGCAACTTAAATATATATGTTTTCCTTCCTTATTATTAGTTATTATTCCAGTTACATACTCATACATCCCTTGAAATTTATTTTACTGTGTGCCTGGAAATGTGACATTTTTACTGATAAATTTTTGAGGCGATCCATAAAAATTAAATAAAATCCCCTCCTGCAATTTGTTTAAAATTTAAAGTTTTGGTTTGGGATTCACTCATTCAGCTATCAATGATGTGTGGCAGTTGATTTTATTTTAAAAGGTCTCAAAGTAGTTAACGAGGACATATATCACTTGTATCAATTCACATTAAATGACAACTGTGAAGAAGAAAGAAACCTAAAAATATGCTATTTAATTCATGATATGCATTCTTGCGTGTCCTTTTTGTGTTGTTTTATGTGCATGAAAAATAGATTTTTGTTTGTTTGATTAGGCAACTTCAAAACTGCTTGTGAATTATCCTCCTACACAGAGAAATGAAATTTTAGATTACTTGTTTAAGGTAAGCGATGATTGTCAGAAATGGGCATTTATTATTATTTTTTTATGTTTGTATCTCAATTAAGAGATTGATACTTGAACATTTTTAAGCTTAGGCTATAACATTAAATTTTTGTTAATTAGTAACTATTTGGAGAATACATTTGGTATTGTAAATTAAGTTTAAATTATCATTTTAATAAATACTTATTATCTCTTAATATCTTGCAGCCAAACTTTGGGGCTTCTCTTCAAATCCTTAAGGTTGAAATAGGTGGAGACATCCAAAGTACAGGTACTTTTTATTCTATTATTTTGATTATTTTATTATGTGATTTTTTTTTTCATCCTGCTTGATCATGTAAATGATGAGGTGGGTAAAGACAACTTCTGTCTGTTAAACAAATATTTTGATCCATAACTTTATTGTGGTATATTTTAAAAATTATTCTCTTTAATAAAGATGGCACAGAGGCTTCCCATATGCACAATAGCTGGGATGAGAATTATGAGAGAGGGTATGAGTGGTGGTTAATGTTGGAGGCCAAAAAGGTGAATAACATTCATTTCAAACTTAAAAGAAGTAACTATTTTTGTACTATTTTTTTAATTCTAACTTAGGATGTATGTTCTTTAGTTTGAAACGCCTCTCTTTTTTATTAAAATGCTTAGAGATGTTTTTTGTGTGTTAAATCTCAGAGAAATCCAAACATTAAGCTGTATGGACTTCCCTGGGGATTTCCTGCATGGATAGGACAAGGAACACAAAATCCATATACTAATATAACACTGACAGCTGATTACATTGTACGCTGGATTTCTGGTGCCAAAAATCGATACAATTTAATCATTGATTATATTGGGGTAAGAAGCATACCAATTACTTTTAATAAAATCGTTTATTATATATATTATATTTATAGTAGTTTGATTAACAATAATTAATTGCTATCATTTTATACTCGTGCATATTATTATTTCAGATTTGGAATGAAAGAAACTACAATATAGATTATATAAAGGTATAACTTACATGTCTAAATGTCTATTTACTTAGGTAATTATTTTGTGTGGATACATTTAGCTATTAAATAAAATTCCTTGCTTTTCATATTTTAGAATGATTACTTATTATCAAACCCAGTTAATTCCTAATGGTTTGATTTTCTACCTGTTAAAACTGAGTAATAATGTTTTCATTTAATTCTTTCTATCCTATAGTGATAACTATATGTAATTTATTACTTTGAAAAATATTCTAAGACTTTAAGGAAAACACTTGATGCAAGAGGATTTCAGAACGTCCTGATAGTAGCAGCTGATGGAGGATGGGACATAGCAGGGGACATTGACAAAGATGCAGAATTATCTGGTGTTATTAGTGCCATTGGGTAAGGGATAGAAGATCATTTTTCTTATCTTGCATGTTATAACTGATTATTAGAGGGTTGAAAAGAGGTAAGCTTAAGTAGATTAAAACTAATTAAAAGGAACAAAATATTTGTGTATGTAACAATACAGTATGATTTTTATGAACCAGATGAAACAAAATTTAATATGCTGCAGCTACAAGCATTCAACATTACAAAAAAGAAAAGAACATACACCTAAAAAAAAAAAATTTGAGTGAATGAAAGGAAAAAGATAAGAAAAACCTTTTAACTTAAAAGAGGGTACTACAAGTAGAATATAACATATAAAATGTTAAAGCTGATTAATAAGTGAATTTTGCATATCTTTATTTATACAGCTGCAAAGTGAAAATGATGTGTCATTGAATGAAAATTTATTGCTTTAATTTTTTGAGGACTATATTTAACCGCACATAATTTTAAAAAAAAGAAAATAATGATGTGAAAATTTACATTGTCTTGCAGATAGGTCTTTCCTCATTGATCTAAAATGAGAAATCAAAACACAAGATATTTTTTTTGTGTGTAAAATGCTTCTTTTCATGAATATCATACAAATATTTATTTTTAAAAAGTTTATCTAAAATCATAACCAAACCATTTCATTTTGAAAGGTTAAAAACTACTAAACTGATCTTCAGTTATCATTTGACCTAAATAGACAGTTTTCTTGGCTCCACCCCTTTCTGTCATCAGTTAAGCAGTTGTTATATATCGGATGTATTAAAGTCTTTTCAGATTTTTTGAAGAGTTACCTTTGCTCAAGCAAGCAGGGAGAAGATGAATAAAATAATAATAGTAATCACACACTAACAAATAGAACCCTTAAAACAAAATGTATGTACTTTTTTGTTTTTGATTTTTAAAAATAAATAAATACCTCATAAAGATCATTGTTTTAAATTCAATAACCCTAAAAACAAAGTTTTTCGTATAAATCCTTTATAAAATGTAATATTGAGCAAAGGGGGGGGGGAGGTGCTGAAAATTTGACCAAACATGCATTCAAGTAGCGCACTTTATGAGAATCCTCCCCCAGATCACAACCGCACATTTTTTCACATCCCTGAACAATATAAATATTCTAATGACCTACTCACTTTTACACTACAGATTTATTTCGTGAACTTTTTCAGAAAAACAAAAGAAAATATAACGCACTAAATGCATTTGCGATATTTAAAACAAAAAGAATTTCATTTAGCGCATTTATCTGTAATTTTATTTCGTGAAATCAGTGTCAACATATTTACTTTAGCCTCCCCTTGAAAAACAGGAAAAACTAATTTTTGGGGTTGAAAATTTGTTATAATGTTTTGTCATCTGCAACGAGTCTCTGTGCCAAGTTTCAGCTCAATATTTTGATTTTGCCAACCAGCCACAATTAAAAGTGAAGTTAATATAAAGGATTTAAAAATGATACAGTTCAATGGCTTATAACTTTCTACCATCACACAATACTGCATACTTCACTGTCATTTATTATTTTAATTTTTATTAATTGAATTTAATTTTTACAATATGACATAATTTATTAGAATTATATCAAGCAATACACAAAGAACTATCATTTATAAATAGCATAACAGACTTACTAAATGGATTTATATGATTTTATCAGGACATTACCTTTTTGTACCCATTTGGTCAAAATTTCCTGATAAAAAAATGAGGTGATTGTTCTAAGTGCTGCCTGGTATCACAGTGTTTAAATACTGATATATATTCCAAGGCCACATTGAACTCATTATCACATTTTTTTTCTTCACTCCCCTTCTGATAACCTCAACAGCAGTTGTTGACCTTACAACAACATAATCAATGCCAAGTATTTTATCTTGTGCTTTTATCTTTTAATGCAGAAGTGTTTATCTTTTAATAAGAAATTGGATACAAATATTTTAGAATCCTTTGGTGACATTCATTAGCCTTAATCTGAAACATGTATATGCAAATATTTAATGTGGATTGGCAGCATTCAAAGGCCTAATCCACAATTAATGGGTTTTATGGGTCAATTGACAAACCAACAAAATCCAGATTTATAAATCCTACCCCATCCACCTCCTACCTCTCCCTAGACTTTGGTTGTCAAAGGCTTACAATCCAAGGTGGTCAAAGGCTTGTAATCCAAGGTGCATCACTCTTCAAATTTTTAGTAGCCTAAATACTTTGATTTCCTTAAGGACCTGCAAGGAAGATATTGTCTTTCTCTTTTGTGTACACATTATTTTTTCTATTTTATATCAAATTAGTTTTAAATGTAAAAGGAACATAGCCTTAAAAATACTAATTAGTAACAACAGCAAAAAAAAAAAAAAAAAAAACATTTAAAAAAAAAAAAAACAAAAATAAAATAAAAAAAAAAATAAAAAAAATATTATTTTTTCTATTTTATATAAAATTAGTTTTAAATGTAAAAGGAACATAGCCTAAAAAATACAAATTAGAAACAAAAGAAAAAAAAAAAAAAAAATCAACATTTAAAAAAAAAAAATCTAGATTGAAATGACAACAGCATTAAAGAAAAGTTGTGATACATATAAAGTCTTGATTTTTGTTTTTCAGGTGTCATTATCCTGGCACTTGGTCATCACCTGATGCATATAACACAGGGAAAACTCTCTGGGCATCAGAAGATTACAGCACATACAATGATGAAATTGGTGGTGGATGTTGGGCCCGAGTAAGATTTATCATGTACAATATTTACTATTGCTACCAGCTGTAGGCAATCTCAATTTTTTTTTTTTTTTAAAGTTTAATTTTAATGAATTTTTTTCTAATTTTGACTTCTTACTGAAGTCACATTAGCAAAAAATTTAGCAATTGATAGGGTATATAAGAAGTCTCTTTTCATAATAAATTATGTTTTATTCTATGAAATTTTTTTTAGCATTTTGAAGTAAAGTAAAATATAATTTTAAAATAATAAACTGACTTGTATTATTTGGAGAGTATATGTACTTAAATATGTCTAAAAATGATGTACGGATGAGGTACGCCTCAAACCTAGATTTTTGTATTTTGCAAGAGGTAAGAATTTAAAATTATTACAAAATAATTGAATGCAAATAAAGTGATTATTAAGAACTTGTAAAAAAATGTTGAAAAGCTTTTCTAAGTCACTAAATGTCAATCTTACAAGTGTTATTTTTGTATTCTACAGATTTTAAATCAAAATTATGTAAATGGATACATGACAGCGTAAGTATTCTAAAATAGTAATGTATTTATAGCAAACTATTTAAATCTGTAATATCTGTGTAAGCTATGCATTAAAAGAAAGCATGTAGGCTTTATTAATTTAAACAGATTTTCCTTTGCTCTTACACGAAAATAGAAAAAAAATCTTGGTCCTTGTGTATTCACTCAAAAATATGAAACATTTAGTTTGCCAGGTATAGCAAGTTAAACAAAAATTGTTATTTATTTTTCTTTTGCACATATTTTATTTTATTTCCTTTTTTGTGTGAAAATCATTCACTTAAAGGAAGTAGAATAAAGTATAAATAAAGAAATATGGGTCATGATTAAGGGTAAGGAGGAAAGTATCAGGGATAAGTGATGATGGGCTTAATTGGGATATCATGGTATGGGTCAGGGATAGACGGGGTAAGGGGACGGGAGAGTGGGTGATTATGCGAACGTGGAGTGGGGTTAGAGTTGGAAGGTTTGTGTTGAGAATCAGAGTTTGTAAGTTGAGGTGGTCTTGATTGGAAATTAGATGTGTATGGAATCAGGGGGAGCAATGGGATTTGCAGGGCATGAGAGTATGAAGATGCAAAACATAAATGATAAATAAAATTCTAGCATTATAGTTAAATTCATTTTTTGGGCAACCATTCCCCCCCCCCCCTCTCTCTTTCATGTCTATTTGAATTTAACCCTAACTACTAATAATAACAATCACAATATGTAAATTACATTTCTGTTCAGGACAATATCTTGGGACCTCATTGGCAGCTACTATGATGGCCTACCTTACTATAGAGATGGTCTTATGACTGCAGTTCAGCCATGGTCTGGCAATTATATGGTTAATACTCCGATTTGGATTACTGGTAAATAATTTATTACTCAGGTATTACATCAGTGGCTTTTATAAACTCATTTAATCTATTCAAACAAATGAAATCCATGTGTGACATTTAGTGACATATACTTAATTGATATTTCAAGAAAATAGTAAGCTAATAAATTTCAGTTTTAAATAAATAATAGCTTTTATTTATAGCATACTGTTTGTGTCTCTCTATTAATTAAATTGTTTTGTTCAATTTGCCCATAAATTTAAATTTAGTTTAAAAGTTTCAGTCTTAAGTCTTTATAAAAAGATAATTCCACTCAAATAATATTGCTCTTTATCTTTTTTTTCCAGCTCACACAACCCAGTTTACATCAGTTGGGTGGAGATACTTGAAACATGGCAGTGGAGTTGGGTTGCTACCTAAGGGTGGATCTTATGTAGGTCTGCTTAGTCCAGATGGCAATCAGATGACTATTGTTATTGAAACTATGGTAAACCTTTATTTTTCTTTCAATATAAATGTTGTAATTTAATCTCTCTTAAATTTTGGAATATTGATGATGAGGTTTTCATTAAAAAAAAATAAATTACCTTGTAATTACTTCTGTATATAGATCAGTAATGAGAATTTTTATGCTAAATTGTGTTAGAATTGTTCATGCCTAGATTATGATCATTTAAAAGGAGGTCATAAATGGTAGTATAGATACAAAGGAATTTATTTTCTTAAATCTACAAGAAAAAAAAATTCATATCCCAGACATAGACAGTAATGTTTTGTACATTTGTAGGTGCTACGAAAGTTTGACAAGACAACCTCCAAAATGATATTTCAAATTTAATCCCTCTTTCACATACTCTCAAAAATTTAACTCAAATTTTTAAAAACTTTTGGATTATAGTAATTAGTTTTTTTTAAACCCATAAATTTGAATCTCACAGACACATGACCATTCAGTCTGCATTCGACCTGGTCTTCCTTGGTATGATGTTCACCCACAAATAGTAACTCTCACTCTCAAGGGCAGTTTTGTGAGTAAAAATAGTCAGAATGTTGCCAATTATTAGATAAGGAATATATGATATATAACAGCAAACTATTTATTTTAAGGTGAAATTTTACTATGCTTTAATGTAGAGTTTCCTGAATTCTTTTTGAAAAAGTTCTTTTTGTGATGTAAAATGTGTGTCATGTTCAATTTTTAAAGACTAAAAAAAAGTCTTTCTACTTGATACAATATTAGAAATATATACCAAAAACAAAAGTTATCCTACACACAGTTTTCAGAGAAGGAAGAATCAGTTCATATAACATATATATATATAAAGATATAATTTATCTAATCAAGTGAATTTCCAATGCTATTTTTATTGTTAATACTTTTATTAATTGTTTTCATTAGTTTTTTCTGAGCTTGACCTGCCACATAATTACAATATTACTTTCAAGGAACTATTTAACTCTCAATTCTAAAAAGCAAATTCAACTAACTTCAAAATGTTTGTTGTCCATCTCCAGTCTAGATTCACTGAGATGAATGTCTGGTACAGCAAACTGGGTTTTAATGGGGCACCAGATGTCATGTTTCAAAGCCTTGGTCCTATAAAGGTTAAACTGCTGTAATTTGGTCATTTCCTAGCAAGCAAAGTTTTAAAGATTACACATATTTTAATAAATAAGTTGTAATTGTATATTACTGGGGAGACATGATATAAGATAAGTAAGTTATTTACCTGGTACAAATATAGCTTTCTTAATATGAAATAGGATTTTAAATCTTTATTCATTTTATTCTACAGTTTATTGATGGTAAAGCTACTATAAATTTAGGTTTGGATGAAGTGTATACATTTACAACTGTGGCTGGAGGGCTGAAGGGTTCATACCCAGATCCCCCTCCACTTAGTCCTTTTCCTCTTCCTTATATTGATGACTTTGAAGGTAAAGGCTAGACTATATTATACATTTTTTCACTTTAAATTATCATTTTTTAACATTGAATTTTATGAATATGATGAAATCATGGAGACTTTGGTTTGGGAATCATGCAAATCACCATTAAAAAATATTGACTCAGCTTACATGTTTTATTTTAACTTCAGTTGATTTCCTTAAAAAATGAATCTTTATGTTTTATTTTTGCCATTTAAAATGTTTATTGTTTAGTAAGGTATCTTTTTAACCTCCGCTGCACTGGCTTGCTAAACTAAACAAAGGATTGTGATTGGCCAAAATTGTGCATGCTAGGACTATAGTAAACCATATACCCTTTTTCTTGCATCCTGAAAAAATAACACCTTTAAAGTTTATTAATTAGTATGTAAAAGAAAATGGAACCACGTAGTGAATATTTCAAATGTGAAAGAAATTTGTGTCTTAATTGTGAAACTTATTACTTATGTTTTTTTTTAAAATCAGATCTTTACTTTGTATATAATTTCAGTGTTCGTTAATTATAAATGTTTCTTATTCTTCAATGATAACTGATATAATAAAAGAGCTAAACAGAAACATTTTTAAAGTAACATTTAATCCTCTTTTTTTACATCTCAGCAGCAATAACTTAATTGAAAATATGTTACTTTTACTTTTCTATATGGTCAAAATATTAAAGTTGCATGATTTTTTTCTTATCAATGAAATTTTTCTTGCTCGATGTGGTGATGGATTTTTATAGAAAACACTTAAAACCTTAATTTCCACTGTAGGTTATGCTCTGTACCAGGAACCAAATAATCTAGCTCAGCAAACAGGAGCTTATGAGGTTATCAGTGATGGCCAGAACCAATTTGTTAGACAGATGGTTCTGAACAATCCTGTTGCATGGTGTGATGCTGACTTGCACAATAAGTCTATTAATGTTATTGGTGATGACTCTTGGTAAGATATTAGAGATTTCTGTAAGCATTTCCCCATTTACTGTTTTGGCTTCGTCCATCATGTTGCATTGATTCTGTAGGACGACTGAAAGAAATAGTTTTGAAAATCTGTGGTATATCTTAATGGGATGAAAGACTTTGACTTGGTATGCTCGTATGTAGTTTTATATTGTTGAGTCTGTTTTTTAAATGTGGTAAATTTTAGATTGGTTTTTAGTTTCTCTTTTTAATACCGTTGACTTTGTGCAGCGCTTTGAGCTTTTGGGGATGAAGCGTTTTTTTTAAAATAAGCTTTATTATTATTATTATTATCTTATTTTGATTATAATAATGTTTACTTTTAACCAAAAGCTATCAATACTTCAAAAAATAGATTTTAAATATGAAAGACCTTTCTACCAGTGTAGATGGAATTTCATAATTATTTTCATTCTGTAAATTGATTCAGTTAAGAAATAATTGACTTTCTAAGTTAAACACACACACAAAACAGTACATCAGTAAGCTTAGTACTTTGTGCTATTCACAAGATTTTAATCTGGCTTGTTTGATAACTACCTTGTTCGGTAATTTTGTTTCTTAAGCTTCATTTATTGAACTATTTTTTCCATAGAATGTAAATTTAACTTGCCCTGCCATCTCTATGGAAAAAAAAAAAAAAAAAAAAAAAAAAAAATTTAATGAATTTTTTTAATACTTGCTTGAGTATTAGTGTTCTATTCGTAATTTTAAGGTTGAAATTGTGCACAGATTACCATATTATTTGAAGTACTATTTAATTTTAAAACTGTATTTGAGTGATTATAAAGTACCAACTAGAGAAATTTTAACAAGTATTTTGTTGTCTTCAAAAAAGCTAATTTTTAACCTCTATTTTTACTTTTAGGGTATCTTTTATGTAATGTATCAATATTCTTGCAAAATGATATTTTGTAACATTAATTTAAAAACTATTTTAAGGACCAGTGCAGGAAGACTACTTAAAATTAATTAAATAATTAACTAGCTTTTAGAATTTGTATATTTTAACTACTTAATGTTCAGCTCTGATAACAAAGTGGACATAATAAACATTCTTTTAACATTGATCATTTATTTATATTTCTAAAATAAATGTTTAGCACCACAGCTTATTTTAAAAACTTGCATCTTATAAAATATATGCAAATACTTAAATTAACAAAGAATCTTACACATTCATATTGGCAGACCCTAACCATTTGAGATATGATTTTTATTAACAAAATTTTATGAATAAAAGAATGAAATGTTTTTCTAATGTATTTCCCTGAACTTTCTTTCAGGACTGATTTGTTTGTGCAGGTTAGCTTTAGAATCCCAAATGTGAATGGCTCCAGTGGTGTTTTTGTCGCTGCCAGAGTGGACCAAGGTGGATGTGGGGCTAATTCAGCTAAAGGAATTTATTTCTTTGCTTTGCAGGATGGCACTTACCAATTATCAAATGACTTTTGTAAGTTAAACGTTTCTTCTTAAGATGTCTGTTGATTTTGGTTTCATCTGATACAAATAACCAAACGCAGAAAATCCATAGTAATATACTGACCTCTCTACGCTGGTAATTTATAACGATGAAGGTCTTGAGAATTTTATCAACAACAGTATAAGTCCAGTGTAATTGTGTAATGACTATCTTAAACTGGATCTTACTTTTGTAGGATACCAAAAAAATTAAAAACTGAAAATTTTAAGGTGGATATCTAAGAATATAATTTAACTTGGATTCAGTTGGACACTAAAGACTTGATTTATTGAAATACCAATAAACCACAAGGTATTGTGATCTTAAATATGTGTATTTGTGCATTACTGCTCTTGGTGATTGAAACTTCTTTCTATATACAAAAAAGAAAAAGTTGTGCATAATTGCGCAGTATGCATACCTAAACATAAATAAGCCACTAACTGTGGAATATGTATCTAATCAACAGTAAGAACTAAAATATTACAGCAAGGTTCATTGTCACAAGATCCAGGTTGGCACACTTTGTCTCTCTTTATTCAGGTACGTTGTGATGGAGACCTTGAGATTTTCTACATATTGATTTCCATTTAGCACCTTCTTAAAGTATTGAGCTATAACTTTACTTTCAAAGCAATTCTTTTAAATTAAGAGAATCTTTGGTTGAATAATATTAGAAAATTATTGTTTATGTTATTCTATGGTATTGTACCATAGACTTTAAAACCACTCACATTTAAAGAGAATCGATGATAGGAAAAGCTTAACAGAATTTTTTTTTAATGTTAATGTTTAATTTTTTAAAATTTTTTACATTTTCAAATCTCTTATTTTAAAATCATGTTTTTATTTGTATGCATTATTCATGCCTCTTAAAATAAATTTGCTCATTTTCTTAAAATAGGGGCCCAGTGCTCTCGGGGCATTAGATGGGAGTGCAGTGTTTAATGTTACCATTCCAACTTCACCAGCCAAAGGCTTTGCCGCTATAGGAACAGACAGTTATGGACTTGCAGATTTTGATGATCTCTATTTAGCCTCGGTTAGTGACGGCATGGCTGCCATGCAGAAAATCTTCAGTCAAGCTAAATCACAGCCTCTTTTATTTGTGCAAGAACAAAAGTAAAATATTAGTAGCTAAATGTTTACTCAATTATTTCATCTGCTTCATTCCCGCTTCTTTATCCTTAATTGTTATTTACACATTTTTAAAAGAACAAACTTAACCAATTGATGTTAATAAATGTAATCACACTTAAATTAGCCGACATGATCAGCAATAAAGGGAAATAACTACACAAGAATGGTAGTCATTTTTTTTTTCATTAATTTCTTTTTAAGGGTGTACTGTTTTGTTTTAATAAAGATTTGTATTATAAATATTGTTATGGTCTTTAAAATAAACAACCCCTAAAAACAAGGTTTTTCATATAAATCCTTTATATGCATTTTTGTTTGCATTTATGTAACTGTACATTCTTTATAATTTTTCATAAAGGGGTTATGAAAATGGGTCAACTTCTGGTGAAAACATGTTACATATTTCCTTCATTTTCCCCTTCAGAAATAGTTTTATTTTTACTGCATATCCAAATATGTCACAAATGCAAAGCACATGGTAACAGCTACACAATTAATCTCCACACCAAAAACACACAACCATTGAACAAATCTTTAACATTCCTCCCCCTTTGAAAAACATGAAAAACTTATAGTTTTGGGTGGGGCTGAAAATTTTTAAAGACAGAATGTGTTGTCTATGACAAAGAGTCTATGTGCCAAATTTCAGCTTGATAGGGTGACAGGAAGGGGGTCACTTACATCCAAAGGTTTGTCACGAACACAAGCAAAGTTAATGTAAAGGATTTAACTATAATCACTTGACAATATTTACAATAAATTTATTTGTTGTAAGAAAACACATAAGGTAATGGCTGAAACACAAGGGTGAGTGTCCATTTGAAGATTGAAAAGTTTAATTGCTCACCAAAAAGTTGTTCCAAGTGACATGGCAGAAAATAGTCAAAACACTTCAGTGCAATTAACAAGCCAAGTCTGCAGCGATAATATATGTTAACTTTTGTTCTAAAAGCTGCACAAAATAACGCATATAATGTTATGTACAGCAAGTGTATAAGTCACTTGAAATTATATAAACAATGAAAAACAATGTTTAAATTGCACACACATTGACACAAGATTTGTCCTTTAATACAAAGGGAAAAGGTTATTGGTAGATTTAGATAAAATTAAAATAATATGAGTTTAAGAAAAACAGAAGTCCTGTTTCCTCATTGTAAAATTCAAACTTAATTGAAATCCTTGTCACGAAGACAATTTGTTATAGACTTTGTATTATTATTATTATTATTGAAAATTTTAAAGAGACTTAATGCAAATAGTAGTGGAAACACAACAAAGCTTAGAAGAGATCTGACTAGTAAAAATCTTCTTATATGGGACAATCGTATACTGCTTCAATTTTAAATAAAGTAAAGAGTTGGCAGCATCACATAGCTTCAGGAGCTTTCAACTTGCTGCTACTTGTACTTGCAGATGTAGGATGTTGTTTTACAGAACTTTTAAATACGTAGATTTTAATGGGTTTTTTTTGTTGTTTTTTTAAACTTTAAATTGTGAAAAGTTCCTTTTCGCATTTCAGTGCATATAATATAACAACCGTCCTCGGTTACAATGTCGGTTCACGTCATCTCTACAGAAAAGAAAGTACTAATTTTATCAATTTGAGTACTAAATATTCTTAAAAATAAATAAGGTCTCAATGATGTATTACAAAATATACGAATCTGTTGTGTCACATTCTGTTATGAAAAGGTCATGTCAAATGTTATTGTGGTGTGTGATGTTATGATAAGTATAATTAAAGTTATGTTGTTTTTTTTAAATTATTAAGCAGCACATAATACATTTTCGAGCACGCTGTGTTAATCTATTTCGACACATTTACATAGCAATGTTCAAAGTGATGTTGCAGTGACTTAGTATGCTGACGACATTTCATGACCAAAAGTAATATGTGATTCTATCATGACATCCATGTGAAATGGTCCCTGTATGTTGTGTTGCTAGGCTTGCCTGCAGCAGGCAGGGCATTTTGAAGCCTGGCCGGCACCTTGGACAGGAGAGCTTGCGTGTTGTCTTGCCTGTAGGTTGGTGTGGACCGGGGTGACGCAGACATTGGTGACCAGAGAGGTGATGCTGAAACAGGTGATGATGGTACTGACCTCGAATGCCTTGTTCCCAAAGGTTGATTTGTAGGCGACCGGAAAGATTCCTGTACGAGTTAAATCATTGTGAAAAACTTTGATAATGTTCAGTTCAATGATTAAAAAAAGGTCTCTTTTACTGTCAGAATTTCTATTGACGTAAGACACTGAAATTATCAGTTGAATAAATTCTTGAAAAGGAGCCACAAATTCATTATTTACTTAGAATTGAGAGGGATGTGACCAAACCCCCCACCCCTCCTACTGATAGAGCCATCCTTGTCAGTATAGTTCTAAAATCAGTCCGTATGGCGTGACCACATAGAGTGTAGTTTAAGCCAATCGGAACCCAGCATTTAAAATTTTACTTAGGTTTCCAAGGGAAATGACATAAATATTTATGTTCTCTTGAGTAATTATGATTTTTTTCCCTCCCGAAATTTCGCTTTGACTGAATGGAAGTAATATTTTAAAGTAAAATATAAAACAGCGTTCCCCAAGTGATCTGTGGACAGGTAATGGTCAGTGAGCAGTACGTTGCCGGTCAGCACAACATGAATATTTATGGTCAAATACTAAGCATTTATAAATAGTCTTGAACCGGTACCTGGTGTAATTTCGAATTTTATCCCTCGGTCCCACTAACTTAAAAGTTTGAGAAACGCTGCTGTAAAGTTTAAGGTTAGGACCGAGTTAAGGGGTAAGGTGTAGGGACTGATGGTAAGTGGGGGGAGCCCGTAGCTGGGGTAGGATGAAGTGTTGACAGGGGCAGGGGATGTGGTTAGGGAAGGATTTAGACCGAGAACGCATTGATGGGGAAGGACGGGGTAAATTGAGAAAGCGCGAAGGAATCTGGGAGTGTGTATAGAGGGGTCGGGACAGGGGTACTTTGTTCATAACTACCTTTCAGATGATGACAGGAAAGTGGGGAGGGGCGAGACTAGTAAGAGGAGATCCAAGTAATATGATAAAAGGTCAGGAGGCATGGAGATTTCATTATTTACCATTTTAAATTTATTTTGAACAAATAGGCATCATACCATTCCTCTTGGTACTTGGTACATTTATTTTTTCATCGTTGGTAGGACCTACACCGCCCATGGCCATGGGATTAACTTTCTTAACACAAAGGGACGCAACTATTTCTAAACAAGAAAAAAAAAAACTTACACTGTAAGTTGTCGTCGATGTTCTTCCATTAGGTACAATGTAACAATGGAGGGGAGAAGTTCGCTGGCGGCCATTGCTGGATTCAGACGAAGAGTTACGTCTACGACCCTCTCGTCCGTGAACCTCCAGGCTGAGCTCCCTCCCTTTCTCACGCCAGCTCCCTCGGCCCGGCGATTGTTGGCGCCCTTCCTTTAAATTGCCACATCTCGCACACAGGGACCTGGGTCTTGAGGATCGTGAGGACCCTAAATGCAAAAAGGGGGGGGGGGGAATATATGACACAGCATTTTGGAAGAGCACACAGTTTGGATAGTCTGCAAGAATATCAGCGGTGTCTTCTGCCAACCTCAGAGAACGGTGGAGTTGAAGAAGATTGTATGTGGGCTTAGGGTTAGGGGTACTAACACCATTTAATACCAGTGTACACAATAAAGCTAATTTAACTAAGGTTTCCATCAGAACTTCCAGAATATTGCCTATAGTCTAAGTTTGCCACTGGCATTTAGATTCCCCCCCCCC